AAGTCTACAAAAAGATGGTATGTATCGATATTGAATTCATTGGTTTTTTTCCAGTATTTGCCTTAGCACAAAGATCTGATCTGTTGTTGATGGACCAGGCCTAAAGCCACTTTGATATTCCCCGAGAAATTCCTCTGAATATGCACTTAGGCGACCATATAAGATCCTCGAAAATATTTTGTATGCTGTATTAAGAAGGGTTATTCCCCTATGGTTTCTACATTCCAATTGGTCACCCTTTTTGTGTAGCGGGCAAACGATTCCAATACACCACTCTTCCGGGATTTGTTCCTCATTCCAGACTCTCAATATTATTTTATATAGGAGACATAGTACCAATATTAAAATCCACTAACGCCCTTCCCGCCAAACATGAAGATAGAAAAGCTACTATAAACAACGACACGCCCCCTGAAGCCGCAACCAGAAACACCGAAACTTTCTGCTTACAAGCGAAACATTAACATCTCCAGAAGATGCCAACTCCTAGTGTTGACGAAACGTCGAGAACTAATCTCAGAAGACAACGGCCCAACAGCCCGAACAAACAGTTTAACTGTTTAAAAATGTTTCGTAAATAGAGTTTGAAGTACTAAGGTTTAAAGTTTTATTTACGTTAATATATAACTTTTAAAGGTATGTAGCAGTATAAATAAACTAAAATGCTTAGGCGGCCACTATTCCCTCCCCCATTCCCCTACCCTAATCTTCAAAAAACTGTAGAGGAAAAACTGTCCAGAAACAAACTAGATGACAACAATGAATAAAAGATACAATTGAATAGCATTATGACAATTAAAATATTGCTCTGAAGGAGAAAAAAATAAAAGAATATATTATTTTGAATATGGTTAGCAACTGATGCATTCCGTATGGATTTTGACTTATTCTTCAATTCAGAATTCTTCCATATCTGCATGTATAATCATATAAAAAAATCAATAACTGTTAACACATTTAGATAAACAATTCAAGCACATTATAAAATCCTATACTATCTAAATAATTTGTACATTTTTATTCTACATACATTTTTGAAATATCTGTATAAGAAATGTCCAGTTTCGAGTATTACTTCAAAGAATTATCACTAATTGACATAATAATATAAACAGCCGTTTTCTAACACGATACATGTTTTTTGTCTAATTTTGACAGCTATTTAAGACTGACCAATACAAAATTAATGCTGGGAGTAAGAATATGTTGTATTAAAAATTGTAAAAACTATTGATTGTAAAATTGTGAGATTAATGATTATGAAAAATGTGAAACAATTTAAAATGTTATGTTAAATGATGAGAAAGAAGGTTTATTCAAGGCAAAAATAGCAGAAAAAAAGTTGGAACATGAAAGGTAGTAATAATACAATTTGGAATAAGATAACCAATATTATCAGAGATACTACTATTGAAATACTTAGAAAAACACCAGGAAAGAAGTTAGGGAATAGAGAGACCTGATAAAGAAAGCAAAAGGCTTCAATTAGATTAGATGTATCCAAGGTGAAAATAATAAAATGGGCTTATATAAAAAAGTTGAAAATATCGTATATAGGATTTTAAACATATAGGATTTAAAGATATATAAAAAAATTCTAATTTTTTTTAAATTGTTATTAAAAAAACCGTTTGAAACAGGGGTAACTTTTTAGCTTATAAACATTTATAATAACTTTGATTTTTTTATATTACGCGCTTGTAAGCAGGCTCGCTGAAAAGATAATGAAAAAACGCAATATTAAAAAAAAAAGAAATCTTTTGACTAATAGGAATCGAGATGGCACTTTTTTTTAAATCATATTTCCATTTTTTATTAACATTGGGAATTTAACAGATTACAAACTAAGGTCTAAACTTTATGATGGCAGATGCCGAAGGATTAAAAAGTTATATCCCTTTAAAGGGTCGGTACTCCATTACCCCTTCATACCATTTGTTCAGAGAATGTAAAAACTTTAAAAAATAAGTAGTTTCAAATTTTAATTTAAATAAACAAATCTGGAGTATTAACAACAATTAATTAATATATTTTTTAGTGATTTTCCGATTTTTAAGGGAGGTGAAAGTAGACCAGTTCTTATTATTTCTCGAGCTACCCCATTGAAAATAAAATAAATGTTAAACCTACCATAAAATTCGAGATATTTCAAATTTTTTCAGCGCTCTTCAATTTGAAGTTCCATTCTAAAAAACAACGGAGCTTCGAAATTATCCCATCCACTTTAACGTGGCGGTATTTTATGAGTAGGAGTACGATCACTTTAACGGGTTTTACACCTGCTCTGTCAATGCCATCTATAAATTGGATCATAAAATCTAGAACTTCACTTATAATCTGTTCATTTTTCAGCTCTTTATGTTAATAAACAATTTAAATATGATTTTAAGAAAAAAATCTTGGCTCTTATTGGACATAGAAGGTTCCTTTTTTTTTCAAGATTGTTTTTTCAACAACAAACAGACACTTACAAATATCTGGGACACGAAATCAAAATAAGCAGAGACAATCAAACACATGAAATACAGAGGCGAATAGGTCTAACATGGGCAGCATTTGGCAAATTAAGCCATATTCTAAAAAGTTCAATTCCCATGTGTCTCAAGCGAAGGGTTTGTAACCAATGTGTTTTACCTGTACAAACTTATGGAGCAGAGACTTTAACACTCACGCAAAAATCTGCGAATAAACTTAGAGTTACACAACGAGCCATGGAACGTGCAATGCTGAACGTGAGCCTTCGAGACCACATAACAAACCAACAAATCAGGCGAAGATCAGGAGTTCAAGACGTCATCGAAAGAACCACGACGCTTAAGTGGAACTGGGCAGGGCACTTAGCCAGAACACAAGATGGACGGTGGACAAGACGTATTATGGAATGGAGGCCCAGAAATTATAAAAGAAGCCGAGGACGACCACCGACTAGATGGACCGATGACATTAAACGTGTAGCGGGAAACTGGCTACAAGCGGCCCAATGTAGAGAACAATGGAAAGAACTGAGGGAGGCCTATGTCCAGCAGTGGACGCGATTGGCTGATTGATGATGATGATGATGACGGAACAAGAGAGTCTATGAGTATAATATAATTATTATTATTATTGGATCCGTTGACAGCAAGGTTGGCCTGGTATAGAGCTTATAGTTCAGCAGAGCAAATGGAGTACTCTGAAGGGAGTTTGTATTTATTTGTTGATGTTGGGGTTATGACTGAAGCATGATACCTTCGTTTGATTTAGATGCATCTGTGTGTATATGTGTATAATCCTTGTAGTTGTGAAGAATATCATTGAAGGCGGCTTTGATTAACTGTGTTTGTTGAATGTTTGTCGAAAGAAATGAAGAGGGTTAGGTACTGAGGGTTCTTAAGGGGCACGTGTAGTTTAATTGATTTAAGTAGCTTCTAATTCTTGCTTTAAAGGGTTTGGCCGTTCTTGGCTTATTTATGAAGAGATTTGGGAACTTTTCTGTAAAACAATTTTGAATAGTAGGGTTTTTTGAGTTAGATTTAATTTTTGCGGCGTACGGTACACTAAAATAAACTCTTCTGTCTTCTAAGAACGGTTCACCAACTTCACAATAAATAGTTTCGATTGGTGTCGTGCGAAAAGCTTCAGATACTATACGTAAAGAGAGGTTGTGAAGATTGCCAAGTTTTTTAGCAGTGTCTTAGTGGCTGTACACTACAGTAGGTCCATAATCTAATTTTGATCTGGTTAATATTCTGTATAATATCAAAAAAGTTTGGCGATTCGCACCCCATTCTTTATTGGCCAGAGTTTTTAGAAGATTTAATCGGTTGTTACAAGATAAGATCAAATTTGTTATATGAGGTTTCCACCTTCAAGTTTCTTCGAATATCATGCCCAAGAACTTTATTGAGGTTACAAGTTTTAGGTTCTCATCACATACTCTTACGTTGGTGGTGTTTGTGACATTTTTCGTAGAAAACATGATAAGACGAGTTTTTTCAGTGGAAAAACAGAAACCTATTTTTTGTGATCAGAGTTTTAGGTGTTGTAGAAAGTTCTGTGACAAAATATATTTTGTATATTTTACCTTTGAAAAATGCCATTTTTTAAATACATAATATCTAATGTTGTGTTGTTTGTCCTAACTTTGAAAGCTCTATTTTGAAGGAAGTTTTTAATAAAGAAGAGGCAGTAACCTTGGATATTCCAACTATGTAATTTTTTTATTATATAATCATGCCAGGCTGTATCGAAAGCTCTTGATATGAAAAAGAAAACTGCTTTTTAGTGCGAATGCTTCAGAAATGTCACTTTCCAAATCTATAATATCTATAGTTGACCTTTGCGGTCTAAAAGCACTTTGTTCTGGAATAATTAAATCTTGTCTCTCCAGGTGCCATCTTCGTCTATTATTAATAATTTTAAGAACTGATTTCTTATACTTAAAACGCGAGAAAACAAAATTACAGCTAACACAGTTAAGACTGGATTTCAGTATAGTACTTCCACGATTCGCTAAATGTGAAATCAATTTTTTTTCCTCAGAAGAAGTAATTATAAAATTATCTACATGCAGATGCTATGGCTCCATCTAAGAACAAACAGTCTAGTTCTTTAACATATATGTTTGGCTTTGACAATTGTAGAAAGCACAGATTTGGGAAATGATCTAAACTTTGGTTCCGAAAATTAAAAAATCCACGGATTTCGACCATTTGTTCTTAGATATAAGCTTAATTACTATTTTTATTGGGAATAAGCCACAATTTAATTTTAAAATAGGATTATTTTTGACGTTTGGTCAAATTTATATATAATCTTTGAACTTAGTTACAATTATTTAGGTACGTTTGTAAGAGTTTTTTATTCCCCATTTAAAATTGTAAGTTTTAAATAGCGTCAAAATTAGTATAATCTATTTCTAATGAGTATAAAAGTTTTGTATGAAATCAGTATTGGCATTCTATACATTATTAAAGTGCAATTGATTAAAGTCTGTTTTATTAAAACGTTCATTTAGAATTTTACAAATACTCGACAATATCACACTTAATAGAAATGTTCGGACACGACCTGCCGAAAGAAAAGTCTATATTATGCTGGCTTTTATTGCGTTCAGTGAGCAATTTCTGGAAAATCGGTAAAATTTCGCGGTCTAATAGTTCACTTTCAGAAGTGGCGTTGTACATCGATTTTTCCCGTTTAGGCGTATGAGCAGCGTTCTTCAGTGAGTTCACGTTAGGGGTACTTTGGAAGTAACCCAACTTGTTGCACTGCTGATTGCAAATATTCGTAGGCAGTTGCTGTTGCTCTTGTTGTTTTTTGGCAGGTGATTTGTCGCGTTTTTCTCTTTGCGAAGAATGGCGATTTCGTTCGGAAACTGTTCGGTGCATGTGAGGATCGTCTGAAAAGTATAATAAATCAACTATATGAACAAAAAAACATATTAACAGTGTTATATATTAATCCTGCATCAGAACAGTAGACACTTCAGTAAAATTAGACAGGCTTAGATCATGGTACTAAGAATAACAGTGTTACAATTGAACCCACAATGAATCCAAATTCGAGACTCGAATCGGTTCAGTTAGAACCAAAGGAGCCCATCCCAAGTTCATCACAAGAAGAAACAAGCCCATCTCTTCCTAGAGATAAAACATCCATGGATTGCATTATTAGAATGCGCTCCGAAAGATTAGTAAAAGCTCCCATTAAACTGGATCTCTAATGAGGAAGGAGATGTTATATATTAATCTTGAATCGGAGTTTCCCATAGCCAATCATACACATTAATTCCTTCAATCTATTTTCCTAAAATCCCTACTTTAATTTTTAAGCCATCAAGTGTATTGTACCCACTTGGTTTTACACTAAATTTATAGAAGATAATCTAAATAATATTTCTTTTGTATTTACCGGCAAACCCGCATTTATAAAAACAACGTCTGATTGGTACCATTACCTTCGAGGAAAATAATGCAAAAGGCATTGTCCACATATAAAACATTACAGCCACGTCTTTTTACCCAGTTTCATTTGCCAAAGCAAATATCTTTTTAGCGAAGTATACTCGTTAGGGAAAGATCCATTTTTTGGAGGTGGTGGGTATTAGAAGCAACAGATCCATTATCCTTGTATTCTTAATACACGTCCTGTAACCCTGGCAAAGTACTCGTAATTTTCTCTCCCAAAAAGATTGAAACTGGCAAATTCTTTAATCAGGTGTTTCATCATTCTGGATGCAACCTTGTATTTTGTGAAGTCTTCCATTCTGGCAGTTTTTTCATCGCTCACGCATGAATTGGAAGAGCTTGATGCTACACTAACTCCTAAAGCTTCGCTAGTCATATCAGTAGCTGCCTTTTCGCTCTTCGAAGCTATTACCCTGAACAGGTTGCATCCAGGGTGATGAAACACCCGATTGAAGAATTTACCAGTTCCAATCTCTTTGGGAGAGAAAATGGTGGTATTTTGCATATGTACTTACCTTCTTCTTGAGATATACTAACTCTGCTATTTTTCTGATGACTTTTCATGCACCTGTGTTGGCTGCCAGTGTCCCAGAGTTCGCTTTTACTTACTACGTGAGTACCGTATTCAGGTTTTTTCTTTGGAGTTGTTCGGTTACTGGGGACGGCAGTTTTGTGACACATTCTTTCTTCTTGTTCAACGACAGTTTCGGCTTTCAGACTAGACTTTCTTCGTGTTATTGTCATGGTTTCCGAATCGTAGCATCTCGACGATCTGAAATATTGATGAGATTGTGTGATGACATGGTGAAACACTTAAACATTAAATATAATGTCTTCATATAAATCTAGTAGCGTCATGCAAAGATAAATCTTACCTTCTTTCGTGTGTAGGAGTTTTCGTCCTCACATATTCTTCCTTAGGATATTCCACTGGTTGGTAATCAGGCGGTTTATCATATTCCGGTTTAGTAATCTCCTTAACTGTGTTGTAATTGCTATCCAATTCCGAAGTCTCATTGCTTTGTTTAACAGTACCATTTAGATGCTTTTGAGGTTCAGGTTGAGGTTCCTGAAGTATAGGGACAGGGGATTTTGCACGTTTGGGAGACTCTCCTATGATTTTCTTCTTCCTGTGAAAATACAGATACCTTAAGTACCGAATTATAGTAAAATTAAAAAAGCTAAGGTAGTACAGACCACGCGCAATATTGATTTATATATTAACATTACATTTATGATATTTTTCTACTTAGACATACATCAGTATCAGATTGATTGAGTCCAAGCCACAATTACTCTAGACTGAATATATTTCGCTGTGATTGAAATATATAAACACATTTGTAAAGTCTTGGTAATTTAGACTTAAGTACACGAACAGCTTATCAGCGATAATTTCGAAAATCTTCATACAATCCGTTGATAAATAATATACCAGGGAGTAAATATTTGTTGTAAAACCTTGGATCCAAATTTACTATTATAAATATATGCTTTACTAACAGTTTTTAATTAAGTTACAATTTAATATTTGTATTTATTTTTTAAATATTTATGTGCTATTTAGGCTTAAAAGGGAAATTTCCCATTACAGTTTGGTCAATGCACATGCCCCGAATAATAATAAACCAGAAGAAATAAAAGAACAGTTCTTCGAAGGCTGTGGTCTCCAATAAACACCCTAGGCCGTGTACAGCAGCGTTAGCGTCAGTGTCAGCGTTACGCCAGACGTTGTATAGTTTGTGTCTATCGACCTGGCTCAAGGTTTTTTGGTCAGGTCGCGCTGATCACTTTTCTTTGACGAACTGTTATATATCAATGGAGATAGGCTTTGACACTATTATAGCATGGTCGTTATTGGCAGCTTCTCTTGCTTGTGGATCTCCTTTTTCATTACCTTGTATTGCAATGTGAGATGGAACCCACATAAATTTGACTTCGGAACCAGATTCTTGTAGGGCATCAAGTGCTTTCTTGATAAGTAAGGCTGTAGGGTTCTTAGTTTATAGTTGACCAATTGTTGTTAATGAGTTTAGAAAATATGTGATAATAACGGAGGAAGAATGGGTTGTACTGCAAATAATTCTGCTGTGTATATAGAAAAGGCTCATTAATTTAAATTCGGAAGAGGAGTGACAAATACTGCTTCTACGCCGTTTGCAGATCTGGGGGCATCTGTATAAGTGCAAAAACTTTCCCCGCTTTATTTGGAGTTTCTTTGAAAATGACTGTCTGGTTACATCTTGGAGTGTCGTATTTATTTCAGAAATCATGATTAACCAGGGAGGGGAAGTTTTTACATTTAAAGAAAAAAGGTCAAGAATTTTGAGTTACAGATCTTTTAAATTTCTTCAAAGTCTTTCATAGAATGGTAAATTGACCTTACTTTTTTTATAATTTTCGAAACACTGAGTAGAATTCGTTACTGGCGACTGAATATACATACGAGAGGCATAAATACTTCCTTCGTAGGGTAAGAGGTGGTTCTCCTGTAAGGCACTGGAGATTCATCATATCTATTAGATTATGTTTTTACCTACTCTAATACTATTTTAAGATTTTGTTTTAAATATCTTGTTAGTAAAACATAAATTAGATTTGATGCAATCATGCAAAACAAGTTTTTGATTTTTGATTTCTTCAGGCATACAGTTCTGTTTATAATAGAAACGAGATACCATTCTATGTCCTGCGAAACAAAGAAGTAACACAACTGAATGCTTTAGTATAAGTACAAAACACAACAAAAACAGTTATGTTTTAGAGTCTATGAAGTAAAATAAATGCACCTATTTCTTCGTTGAATCGCCAGACATATTTGACCAGGGAAATAAGAATTTATCAAGACAGTAGCTGTAACTACTAGCTAACTAGGTACTAACTAGCAGAGGTTGGGCCGGTTAAGCTTGGGACAATTTTGTATCTCAATAGCATTGTAAGCTCCTCCTACTCTGGTGGAACAAAAATGGCAACCGTTTTATTTTATTTTCGTGTAGTAAAAAAGGCGCTATCTGTCAAACGTCATCTGTCACCTCTACAACAGTCGTTAAATTTAACAGTTCTTAAATCGTTTTTACGTGTCGTCATCATATTCTTTCTTGTCTGTCATCTGTCTTCTTTCTGTCTTTCTTTTTGTCCTCAATTATCCTTTTTGTTTGCCATCTGTCACTTCTTAGTCGTCTGTATTCATTATTTTTTCGTATCTGTTGTCTGCCACAATTATTGTCAGATGCAATGTCGTATAATATATACCTCATTGGTTAGATACTAATTAGAGTACTGTCAAAAAACACTGTATGTTTGCTCATTTCCCTGGGCTATATTATTTATGCACACTATTCTATTTTCTGCAATTGAAAGAGCCGATTACATATTTTTAATGTACATATTAATATGTGATCTTCTCCTTTATATAAATGTTTTCTAATGAATGCCTTTTTATTGTTAAGCACTGTTAATCCATGCTAGCTATCTAATTTTATGGTTTTTAATTTTCATGATTTAGAGCTACAGTTTTTATTCTACTTTATGTTTCATTTCTAACTGTAGTTTTTTCATTTGTTCTACAGATTTAGTCATTGTTCGAAAGTCACTAGAATTCGTGTTGTATAATGTCCTAAGAAATTATACTATATAGACTGACAATTTTATAAATTCACCGTTAATATCTTCATTCTGTAAATAATATTAAAAATCCGAAAGACAGGTTTTTTCAATGACAAAAAGAATTTCTATAAATATTTTTGGTACTCAAGATTCAATCTACTAACTACATTAAATCTTACCTTTACAATTTTAATAGGTTGCCTGCCATGCGAAGAATGATGTGATGCACGGGTAACATGACTTTATATTGATTCTCGAGCATCACAAATTATAAAAGCTACAAGAAGCAACTTTGGTCTCTCATGTCAATGTATCGTTAATGCAGTTTAAAAGTAGTGATGATTTAACACACAATACATTTGGCCTAAGGATAAATTAAGGAATCAAAGTCTAAGCGAAGAAGACCAGAGAGATATAGATTCCTACTGGAACAGGATAAAGGAAAATATTGAGTCAGCAGCACAAGCTAAAATAGGAACAGAAACTTGTACCCGAAAAAATCACTGGTTTGACGACGAATGCAAAGACACAACACAAAAAAAATTAAGCCTATACAAAAATGTTTACCCGCCGAACTAGAACAAAAGTAGAGAATTACCAGACAAAGAGAAGAGAAGAGAAGAAAATACACAGAATGAAGAAACGAAACCACTTAAAAGAGGAACTTCAATATATAGAAAACCTCATCAGAGAGAAAGGCTTCAGAACATTCTATAAAAAAATTAACATCAACAGAAAAGAATTCAAGGCAAACACAAATCAATGTAGAAGTTTGAATGGCGATCTATTAACAACAAGAACAGACGTACTAAATCGATGGACAGAATATTTTAACCAGATACTTAATATAGAGGAAGAAGAAGAAAACCGGAAGACGAAAGCTGTGAGATAAGCGAAGCAGACGAGAGGGAGGAGGACCCACCAACGATCCTGGAAGTTAAAAACGCTGTAAACAAACTAGCCAGAAACAAATTACCCGGAATAGATAATCTCCCAGCGGAATTGCACCATACACAAAATACACAAAAAGGGAGATATCTTTAAATGCTCGAACTATCGAGGAATTACGCTCCTAAATGCAGCGTATAAAATATTCTCCAATATACTATGCCATCGTATGGCACCATATGCAGAGCGAATAATAGGACAATACCAGGGTGGTTTCAGAGGTGGTAAATCAATAATTCATCAAATTTCAACCCTGAGACAAATTCTAGAGAAAACACTGGAATACGGTGTAGACACGCACCACATATTTATAGACTACAAGACAGCCTACGACTCTGTAAATAGAAGAGAATTGTTTAGAGCAATAATAGACCTGGGAGTACCAAATCAGTTGGTAAGTCTAACCAAACTAACCCTTGAAAAAGTTGAATGCAGAGTACGAATCCAGGGGGAACTGTCTGAACCTTTTAAAACAAATAACGGGCTGGAAAAAGTAATACATACGTCTCAAATCACAACAACCGGTTCAATATATAACAAATCTGTACAAATCCTAGCATATGCTGATGATATCAATATTGTTGGGAGAACAAGAGAAGCGGCTACAAAAATGGGTTTAATAATAAACACCAATAAAACGAAATACATGAAAATAGGTACGCAACCACAAATACTACGGCCACTTGTTCTAGAAAACGACGTCATCGAAGCAGTTAACAAATTTGTATACCTGGGAACGATCGTCAATACTGAAAATGACACTACTGCAGAGATAAAACGCAGAATTTGCATGGCTAATAGAAGATATTTTGGGCTTAATCTCCTTTTTAAATCTACAGTTACACCAAGAATATAAATTATATACCTATTGGTCAAAGAAGAAGAGGAAGACCCAGAACAAGATTCCTATATAACATAGACCAAGATATGAGAAATATAGAAATACGTGCTTGGCGGAGGAAGACGATGAATAGGGACGACTGGAAAAAAATTTTTTGGAGGCTAGGACCCACACAGGGTTGTAAAGCCCAAATGGTGATGATGACACGTGTAATGTATCGCGCACTAGTGTAAGATGGACAGTGATCGGCGGTTTCAATAAAAGAACTTTGAGCTAAAACTTTGGCTAGATATTAACTTAGTTGTAGTAACATTCAATCATAAAATTACGTATTGTTTAAAATGCTTGTGTTCTTATTTTCCACGTTAGTAAGTGGTCCTTCGATTTTACAGTAATTACACGATTTAGTACGCTCTAAATGGTAGCAAGATCGCTATCCTAATTTGTTGAACAAAAGTTTCATTCTATCAGCTTAATAATTTGCGTACAAAAGTATCTTTATTGAGAAGTTCTTTATTGAACATTTTTTCGTCCAATTTTAGCAATTGTTTCTCAACAAACAACACATGTTCAACGATTACTGGAATATACGTCTTCCAACACATGATTGTTGTTATGATTCTGTGCTGGGTTTTGTTGAATATCCCACTTTATATGTGCTCAAATTTAATGTATGCAACTTGTGAGTCCCTCGCTGTGGTGACTCATTTTTAGCTTATTGCCTTTGCTCATCTCTTGTTCATTAGAACCACCAATACTTTCTTCCTTTTGTCCTCTTCCTTTTACAAGTTCAGCAATTTCCGTATTAGTAGTCGTAAATAATTATGAGATCACTGTGGCATGCGGCATGCGTAATAACGAGTTTCAACGCTGACTTTGTATTTTTTTAATTCTCTGTCACATACGGCCGTGATATTCGAACTGTCAAGTTATTAAGAGCCGAGTTTGTGAAACTACTGTAGCTAAAATTATTTACTGCTCTCCCCTTTGAAAAGAGAATTGACCTATTTTTCCGATTTTTCATATTATATACGGGAATAAAGATATTAACTGTGGTATGTCTAAAATTGTCATCCTTTCTATAAATCAATGTTTACTAAATCTAAAAACATGCTTTGTATTCTTTTGTCTACAATAAAACATATCGCAGGCGCGCTAAAATAGAAGAAGACAGCCTATACTAAGAAGCTAGCTGAGGACTTCTACTTTACACATACTTTATTTTGTGGTGATTGTGGTTACCCATTTGACTGCAAATAAAAAAGGTATTGACACATTTGGTATAATTTCTAATTTGAGTGTACTGTAATTTGTTTGTTGTGTTTTATAGACTACCTCTAGTGTGCATATTTAAATGTGGTTTAACGGTAATGTGTGAAGACTATATACAGGGTAGCCAAATGAAAATACATACAGAAACTGTATCAACATTTTAGAAAAACTCAAAAATCTATTGATTTTTGTTATTTAAATAAACACTTTTTTCGAATATTTTCGACTGCGCCAGTTTTACCCGCAAGCGAGAATAATAATTCCAAAATTTATAAATTATATTTCATTTTACCACCCTGCAGTAAAAAATAAATAATATTAACAGTGTATTACAGATTGAGAAGGTTATTTTGTACTTTAGAATTTAATTTTCATATGGTACCGCTTTTTGAGTTTCGGATTTTAATATATTCGATCGATAACGTTCTACATCAGCGAGATCTCGTCGAATAGCAAGTGGACATAGCGTTACTGACTTAAATAAAGAAAAAGGACCAAGGAAACGAAATAGTAGAAGAATACGTTCATTACTACAGAGGAGTCAATAAAGACCAAAGAGGCTCTGTAGGAATTAGAAAAAATATAATAAATATGTCAACGATTGGACAGACAATATTTTTCTTTTTCCTTTTTAAAGCAACTCTGCTTGTTGGAACCCATTGTCTTATTCAGCTGTCTACTTCTATAGGTTCTGTAAGTTGTCCACCTATTCTGACTTCCATTTTGTTGTTTTGGTAGATGTTTTCGATAGTTTTTATAATATTTAGGGGAAGTTCTCTATTATACAGAAGATGGATTACATCTTTGAGTAATACTCTGTCAAACGCTTTCTTTAGGTCAATCAGACAAATATCTTATCCTGATTTATTAACAGTTGTAAAATTTTAGTTGTAAGTTTTGGCGTAGTATTTACCAAGTTTATACCTGTATAGTTTGCTGGCCGTTTTTATCTCCTTTTTTGAATAGTAGAATTAGTTTGCTCGTTTTCCATTCTTCCGGTGTTTTATTGTGTTTTGTACTTTTATTAGTTAATGTTGTTAATTGTTTTGTCATTGCTGCTCCACAATATTTCAGTAACTTATTTGGTATCCCGTCTTTACCTACTTCATTTGTGGTAATTTCTGGTGTTTCCGGTTCTAGCGTCGTTTGTTCTTCTAAGAGAGATATAATAATGGTAGTATTATGCCCCAATGACAGTAAAGGAGAAGAAAAAGAGTAGTTTGAAGAAATTCTACACAGGAAATACTAGAAAATATAAATAGTCGGAAAAAAATATATTGATGGGAGACCTTAATGTAAAACATAAGGCATTCAAATTGAAAAAGTATCAAGTTAAAAATACTTGCGAACTTCAATAAACGAAACTGGAGACCAAAACAATGAAATAAAAAGACGTATCGAAATTGCCAGGACCACATTCATAAATATGAGGAAATTCTTCTGCAACAGAGATATAAGCATCCCTCTATGATTAAGAATGCTAAGGGGCTACGTATTTAACACGATATTATACGGTGTAGAGGCCTGGACTCTCAAACAGAACGACATAAAAAAGATTGAAAGTTTCGAGATGTGGTGCTACCGTCGAATGCTGAATATAAGTTGGGTTGAAAGAGTCACAAACTTTGAAGTAATACGAACGATAGGAAAAGACCCATAAATTTTGTCAACGATCAAACGAAGAAAACTCGAATATTTGGGTCACCCGATAAGAGGACATAAAGACGGATTACTTCAAAATATAATGCAAGGAAAAATAGAAGGAAAACTTAATCTAGGCCGTAGAAGAATGTCATGGTTGCGTAATTTGAGAGAGTGGTTTGGCTGCACCACTAATGAACTCTTTAGGTCAGCTGTAAACAAGGTCAGGATAGCCTTGATGATTTCCAATCTCCGACAGGAGTGGCACAAGAAGAAGAAGGATGTAAGGACTGGAAGAAAGGATAATAACAAGATAGTAGGACCATACTGAGAAAATGTTTTGAATGAGAATGGAACGAGTCTGATTGACTTATGTATATATGTATATGTACTGTGTGTAAGTAAGTAGTATATTCTGTAGACTGTTAAGTGAATTTTAACCTCCCCAATATCAACAAATATAAATATAAAAAATTGAAAACTTGCTTTTGGCTATCATTTCTTTGTAAAGTAGCATAATCTTGAGAACTCAAACTGCACAGTGAAGTTAAATCGCTAGTTTCCGTGGCACTTGGTGCTTCTTTTCTTAGTAGAGGTACCGATAGTCTGTTAGTGTCACTCATGGAGTCTGCTCTAGATTCTAACAATTCCTTGGCTTCATTTCCCAGTCTCCTAATCAGCATCTGAAAGTTTAAATACAGTGTAATCAATTTTCCTACAGTATGGACAAGAATAGAGAAAAAAAAATGAAAAAACCAACAAACTTGACCTTGATATTATAGAAATATAAAATAAAATTACACTTATAAACAACAAAACAACGAACAACAAATAGGAGATCCCAAGGAACTGTGAAATGAATTTAAAATTAAAGAAATTTACGTAAAGTAAAAGTAGCAGAACCAAAAACAGTAAATCAATGACGTTTCTTGCGTCTTGCGTCTTGCGTTTTCTATGCGATTTACTCTTAGTACTCTGCCTAACCTAATAATATCGCCAAACAACGTGTTGAAATTATCAAATAAAAACAACATTTATTATATTACATATATTTTTCATGGACTAACCTGTAATTCAGATTCCTTGTCTAATAAAGTTTTTCTATATTTGGAGTTTAAACTTTTAACATCCTTAATTTTAGTCTCTAGTTCGGAAACGCTGGAATCCCTGCGAGTCTTGGACATTGGTCTAAGAGTAGGGCGAAACCTTTTGTCGATAGCTCCTGCCGGATTCCTTCTTAGTTCTAAAAGTTTTGGAACGAACACCAACCATAACGTAGCCGTTGTACAAAACATAACAAACACTCCTGAAAAATAAAAAAGTATCTTTGGTAGGTAATAGCTCTTATGGTAGACATTAATGCAGTGAAACATGGATTCTCAACCAGCTGGAAATCAATAAGCTTCTGGTATTTGAAAGAAAGGTTCTCAGAATAATATTTGGCCCTCAAAGAGATGAATTCACAGGGGATTGCAGAAGACACCGCAATGCTAAATTGATGGCCTTGTATGGAACTGAAAACATAGTTGGACATATCAAGGCAAACCGAATAAGACGGGCAGATCACATGGTACGATCAGAGGAGGACAGAGTGTTAAATACAGTGTTTTTTGAAAGACCAGATGGTAGAAGATCAGTAGTTGTAAAGCTCACCCCAAGTTGTAAAGCTAGTGAAGAAGAAGAAGAAGGTATATATTATTACTCGTATGGTGCTAGTAAAAACATGGAGTGCTATCTAATCTTTATATTTTACTTACCTATTATTAAAAACATTGCATCTTGATGATCCACTAATACTAAAGCTACCGCAGCACCACATATACACATGATGGCGACGTTGTAAACGGATAAACCAACATGCCTGCTGTCATTAAGTGCTGGAATTGACACATGACGGGTTTCCCAGGCCAAGAAGGCACCAAAAATCTGTAAGATTTTATGTTTTATACTAAATTAAATATTTTTTTGTGTCACACTTACCATTAAAAGGCCTTTGTAGGCGTATATAGACCCCACAAAAATAGTTTGATGTTCAGAAGCACAGTATTCGTTTTCGGGTATAATAATAATATCTTCGTTAGAAGGATGTGGCTAAAATATTAGCTTTTAATATCAGACAATTCTTACAACTAAAATATACTTACGTATCTTTCCATTTGTTTCGTGTCTCGATAAAAGGGATCAGCTATTTGCCAGGTAGTCATGATAGCCAAATCTATGACAAGAAGTACTCCGACTACCATAAAGAGCTGGTAGTCTTTGATAACCTTTTTGTTTAATTTGACATCTGTAAATATGGAATGCACCCTCCAAGTCTTACTAAACATAGCTCCGAAGGCTAGTGAAAATCCAGCCATCAGTGTCCAAGCCCTTGCGGTGCATATGTAGGGAAATGCGTCTAAAATACACATAGCATTATTGTTTTTTCAAGTGATAAGTCAAGTGTCCATGCCGGTCTTAGCTTGTGTAGAGGAGGGGCGCTGAACTGAATAGGGATCCTTCAATACTTTGTGCAAGATAGACTGGGCCGGTAAGTCCTCAACCCCGACACGGCGCGTCCAAATGGCTAATAGGGAACGTTCCTGTATATATGCAGGACAGGTATGAATAAGGCTTCGCCAAATAAGTACCCGCGGATCAACGGAGAACATGGCACAGGTTAGCAGCTGTGTCATTAGTGGCCCGTGGCTAAGGAATACAATTCCTGACAGGTGCGGTACCACAAAGTCGCAGGCAAAAATCAAATACTGATTTAACTGGCTGTGGTACTGCGAACACTGACCAACCCATCCGGCAAGCGTGGTGATATACCCCTCAAACACAACATGATGAACTTGAAACAAAATGGGACGATACCCCACGTGGGTTGAGGTAGCAGTTCAGAATTCCACACCGGAAAACCGGCCATCCTCACGGATTCTGGGGAGGCATAAGCTCTACAAAATGCGCCAAAATTGATAAAAACAAACAAAAACAGTTGCTAAAGATGAAAAGGTCTATGAATAAGAAGAAGAACTATCCAAGATAAAGTGGGATATTGTAGTACTGTCATAAGTGAAAAGAAAAGGCGAACGATTTTTTGTCAAAAAGTATTTCACACCAAACATTCCTACATATAAAAGCGTTTCTAATAGAGTAGCTTATATTATAATAGACCTAGTTAATAAAACCAAGATCAAGGTTATACAAATGTATGCTCCCACCACACACACAGGATATGTTCTACGAAGATTTGATAACAACATTAGAAGAAAATGACACAAAGTATACCATCATTATGGGAGATTTCAACGCAAAATTATGTAAAAAAGAAGAAAATACTTAAACTAAAATAGGGATGCATGGTTAGAGCACAGGAAACGAAAGAGGAGAAAAATTATATAACTTCTTAGAACAACAAAATTTATATGCCATGAACACATACTTCAAGAAACCAGCAAACCGAAAATGGATATCTCCTGATAACAAGACAAAAAACGAGATCGATTACTTCTTGTGTGGAAACAAATACATTTTTGAAGATATAACTGCTCTCAATGGATTCTTAGTAAAGAACCAGTATTAGAATCACATTAGAATACTTTTAAACATAAAAAATTACCGCTTTAATATGAAATACAAAACAAAATTATTATCGCGAAAGCTAGATCATACTTCATATTCCGACAAATAGGTGGAAAACATTAAAGAATTTATTTAAAGGATAAGAAAAAAGGAAACATTTGTCTTAAATATTTACCTTTTTGAAATTTTTCTTACCTATACTGGATAATCCAGAATCCAGTCCAAGAAAAATGACACTCGTATATGTCAACATACATCCAATAATGATTAAATTATTTAGTTGCGGGCTGGACATTTTTATATACCTTTGATTTCTGTATTTGATGTTAAAAGCCAGAAACACTATGGCCATAATTATACCGCAAACTGACAACGTTGCTAAAATGGCGTAAACAGTCTTATTTACCCTGGTATGTTCTATTATAACTAAAGTTCTATCTTTGGGTGGATACCTGAAACAAAGATAATTGTTTTAACTTTATTTAAAACATGTAGAGTAAATGGTTTAATATATCTCTTCTCCGGAGCAAAAATGACAATTTTTTGCAGTTTAGAGTTAAATGTAGCAAAAACGTCAGAATGTGCCATTCCATTCGGATGGAACCATACCATAAAGGTAATACATTTATTGGCAGTGCCAGTCCACGAAGTCCACGAAACATGCAAATACATCTTTTCTTTGGTCACGGCATTTTTGTAATAGGATGTTAAGGGCAAAAAATGCCTCTCTGGTTCCCATAGCATTTTTAAAACCAAATTGGGTATCTTCAAGATCTTCTTCGCATTTTCGTCTAATTCTGCTGTGAAGTATTTTAAGGAAAATTTTAAGAGTGTGGCTCATTAGGCTAATTAATCGATATTCTGAGCATTTTCTCGCATTATGTTTTTTAGGTATTGCGACAAAGATGGATTTGAGCCAATCTGCGGGAATCGCTCCGGTGTTATATATTGAATTTAAAAGTCTTACTACTACTTTTATGTCACCATTCTTTATTAGTTTCAGCAACTCATTTGGTGTATCATCTAGACCACAAGTTTTCTAAGTTTAGCATTATTTTTAGCGTGTTCTACCTCGCATTTCATAATTTCTGGGCCGTCAGTACAGTTTTGGAAGAATTCGGCAATATTATTCCTATCATCTTCAAACAACTCTGATATATACAACTGCCATTATTTTCTTATTTCGTGCTTATTTACAATAATTTTGTTATTATTGTCAACAAGTACAGAGGGGACTCTTTTTTTAAATATGTTACTCATTTCTTTTAGTTTTTTTTTGTGCACATTAAATAAGTCGTGTGTAGATATTACATCCTCCATTTCGTAGCACCTTTGTCCCATCCATTTTTCTTTGGCTAATGTGATCTCCTTTTTTATTCTTCTCTGCAGGTGTCTATATTCTGTTTCATTAGATTTTATCATTTGACGTTGTTCCATTAATTTCAAGATGTCGTCTGTCATCCATTTATTTTTCTTGATTAAGTTTTTTCTATAATCATTGTTTGTGGAGATTTCGTTTACTTGGTTTTAAATTCACTCCACATAAATGCATACACATTTTAAAAGATGAATACAAACTCCGAACAAATCTATGCAGAAATTAAGAAGGGCAGATAACCAGCAATCCAAGAGAAATAAAATCAGTCTGGTAAACCCTTTTCCAAACTCTTTTGGAGACGCCAAAATGAAAAACATTTGGACAAGCACATTGAGGATAATATACAACCTCTGACGATGGAAGAGATAAAACCAGCAATACGGATACAAAGGAATAACAAGACTCCAGGTATAGATGTTCCCTCTGAAATATATAAATTAGGAGGAGAACAGCTACTAGGACAAATGCATAAAGGGGACGAAAAGTACCTGTTACTGTGTAGATATTACTCAGGATCACATTGAAAGAAAGTCAACAACTGGATTATCACTGTTAATCAAAATTGATTATACATTGTTATATTGGCCAAAATCTATCAACTATCTCTTTAATCAGTGTTGAAAAATATTCAAAATAAAGTTTTCATTCTGTACCATCTTTTAAAATTGTTCTGATGCACACTTACCTATTACGTATTACATACTTAACGCAATTGCTTGTTGATTTATTGATCCGAATATCAAGATAATATCACAATACACTTACTTGCCAATCCACTTAAGTGGATCCCCGAGTGTGAGATCCAAGTGTTGTGTTGCAGCACTATATTCGCCCACTTTTACTTCTTTACCCTCTTGAAACTGCTTCAAGAGAATGCTCGCCTTTCTTTCGTTATCGTAAAATCGTACAGGTCCGGTTACTCCTAAAATAAAAGCAATTATTTGAAAGTGTGTAGTAACTTTTTAAAAAACTATACCAAATCGTTAGAACGGAAGGAAAGATCGAAGAAAAAAAAAAGACAAATTATACAACAAATCCATAGTTTCGTCTTTCTTTATAATTTCAGTGATTTACTTAATACTCTAAACAGTATTTGGTAGAAATAAGTACCAATTATACAGAACTGGAAAGCTCTTTATATACTCTCTAAACTTGGCAAACGAGATAATGATCACCATTAATATCGCCCAACATATCTAGCATCTTGTGTTCTTAAAACCGTGGAAAGGCTAATTAAATATACTGTTACGATAAATAATGACTCAAAAAACTGTAAACATTCTTTTTCATTCTGATATGTTCTAGATTCTCCGATCGAAGCCGGTAGAAATTCTACCGGTACTCCTCAGCGGAAAACCAGTCCTGGTGATCTTCTAGTCTGTCCGAAGGGGATCGCCGAAATTCTAGTCTAACGCTTGTTTAGTATAAATATAGAGTAATCTTTTATTTAAGATATAGTTAGTTTTGAATATGAAGTCGAGTTTTAAGTTCGAATATAAATTGTAGTAAATGTAAAAATGAATTAGTGTGATATTGTATTAATAAAGACTTTAATAAATTTGCAAGTGTTATAAATACAACCTTTGATAATAAATAAAGACAATAAATTAGATTAATAAAAACAGTTCAATACATTGGTTAGATTTTAATAACATTCTCCCAAACTTCCAATTTGGATTTTATAAATTTTAATTTACCCAAAATGCTATAACTGCTCTAGTAACAACAGTGCAAATCAATTTTACGAAAAACTCATCCACTGCAGTCGTATCGCTGGATGTATCATCTGCTTTTAACAACATAAATTTGAATATGTTCATAATATGTATATTTCAGTATATATCTTGTAACGAATATATTTTGCCTACCACAAGGGGTATTAATACAAGGGGTAGAAAATTGGGGACTGAAACTAAGGGGGTGGAGATAAGGCAAGCAAAATAAACGCTACTTGTGCGAACGGCATTCCGGGTTTGTTAGGAGAGCTGGGGTCGTGGATAAGTAAATATCAAGGGGGGTTTGGAATGGGGCAACTACAAAAAATGAAATAAAGGGGTCATTAATCTCTTCATCATCATCATCATCATCATCATTCAGCCCATACTCGTCCACTGCTGAACATAGGTCTCCCGTAGTTCACCCCACAAATTTCTGTCCTGAGCCGCCTGCATCCAATTTTGATGTGTCCGTTTCAGGTCATCCGTCCATCTTGTTGGTGGTCGTCCTCTATTCCTTAAGGCATCTTGTCTGGGTCTCCACTCAAGAATGCGTTTTGTCCATCTGCCGTCCTTCGTTCTCGTGACGTGCCCTGCCCAGTTCCATTTTAAGGTTGATATTCTTTTGATTGCGTCGGTTACTCCCGATCTACGGCGCAATTCTGTGTTGGGTATTCGGTCTCTCAGGGTTAATCCCAACATGGACCGTTCCATTGCCCTCTGTGTTGTTCGAATTTTGTGTGCGGACGTCTTAGTAAGTGTTAGCGTCTCCGCACCATATGTTAGAACCGGCAGCACACATTGATCGAAGACTTTTCTCTTCAAGCAGATGGGAAGAGCTGATTGGAAAACATCTCTTAGCTTTCCATAAGCTGCCCATGTCAACCCTATTCTACGTATTAGTTCATTGGTCTGGTTATCTCTACTTAAGCGAATTTCGTGTCCCAGATATTTGTATGCTGATGTTTGTTCTATACTTGTTCCAGCTATGTTGATGTTCTCACTCAGAACAAGGTTTGTCATCACTTGTGTTTTTGAGTTATTGATCTTTAAACCCACTTGTGTAGAGGCATGGTAGAGTCTTTCGCACATTTCGATGGCATGATCTATGCGGTCTGTTATTAGGACTATATCGTCCGCGAACCTGAGGTGACTAAGCTGCTCTCCATTTATGTTTATGCCCTTTTCGTCTAGGTTTGCACGCTTACACATGTATTCCAACAATGTTGTAAACAGTTTTGGTGAAATGGTGTCGTCCTGGCGAACTCCACGATGAATGTTGAACTTGTGTGTATCTTCATGGAGTCTGACGCATGCCGTGGCATTATCATAGATATTTTTGATGACAGTGGTGTAGCGGTGATCTATTCGGCACTCTTTTAAAGCTTCTAGCATTTTCTGGTGGTTTACTGTGTCGAATGCTTTCTCATAGTCCACAAATATTAGGACGAGGGGTTTATTGTACTCTATACATTTTTCGATGAGGCTTTTAATAACTTGTAGATGGTCGTTTGTGCCGAAGCCTGACCTGAATCCTGCCTGTTCGCATGATTGGTAAAAGTCCATTTTGTTCGAAAGTCTGTTTGTTATGACTTTTGTAAAAAGCTTGTATATGTGTGAGATGAGGCTGATTGGTCTATAGTTTACGAGATTTGTTAAATCTCCTTTCTTAAACATTAGAATGATCACTGCATTTTGCCATTGTGATGGTGTTGTTCCTCTTTCAAGGCATTCTGTGAAAAGTATGGAAAGCATTTGTATCAGTTTCTCGCCTCCTAATTTTATGGCTTCGGCAACGACCCCGTCGTCGCCAGGTGACTTATTATTTTTCATTTGTAGGAGAGCTTTTTTGATTTCATTAATCTTTTGGAACAAACAAAATAAAAATAAACAGGAAACACCTCTAGTAATTTAATATAAGGCGCCACTTTGAGGTGCCTAATTATAACTATTACAACAACTAGTTGTAATAGGAAAATAATTATTAAAAAATCAAAACATATCCGGGCGACATTTTTGTAACGATAACTTGGGATACTATTCGAAAGGAAAAAAAAGGAGAAGAAAAAAGGATTAATTTAAAAAATAGACAAAATGTTAAGAAACAAAATTTAACATTTATTTCTGTGTCATACCACAAACAGTTACACAAATACAGACAGCACAAAAAATACTATATTAGTTACAGAGATTCTTACCAAA